GAAATAATTTTCTGACCTGTGGATAACCCCTTCAACCCCAACAGGAAAAGGAATTTTAAAAAACACCTGAAACCCAGCTTTTCCAGTTATTAGCATAAATGGGACAAACTATTTTTCTTAGTGGCCAAATCCTTCCTTATAGGAAGTGCTGGTCTTTGAATTCAGTGAGGGGAGGGGTCATGTCTGTTTTACTGCTATATTCCCAACACCCAGCTCTAACTCCCACATGCAGAAGGATTTCAATGAACAGCCAAGAAAAGATGGGGAAGGGGAGGGAGGGAGAGAGAAAGCAAAGGAAAGGAAAAGAAAGGGAGGTGGAAAGAAGGAATGAAAGACACTAGGGAAGTAGGGAGATAAGAAAGGGCGGAAAAAGGGAAGGAAGAAGGAGCAGAAGAAGGAAAGAGAGAGAGGGAGAGAGGGAGGAAGAAAATGAAATAAATTCAGAAGGAGATCTTTTCTCCTTTCCTTTTATCTGTGTCTTTATGTTTCTTGAACTTTCAAGCATCTGGCTCAATAAAAAACTGATCATAGCTTTTCTCAGGGCTTCCTGTCTAAAGCTGTAAGATCACCAGTGCAGTCAACTCTGCTACCAGCAACTCTCCACGGGGACCAAGTAGAGGGTGGGAGGGGTGAGATGAAGTTAATGGAAGTTCCTCTCTTCAAGAGTCATTTATTCAGCACACAGGAGTGTGACTTCCAGCCACCTCCAGTGTGTGGCACAACACCCCATGGAGCTGGAGACCCAGACAGTGCTCAAGGAGGCCACCATCTACTAGGAGACACAATGCCTAATTCAAGGTAGGCTTTAACACAGGCCAGGGAAAGGGTCAGATAAAGCTCTAAGAAGATCAAGGCAAAGGAAATTGCATCTATCTGAGGAGCTCAGGGAAGGTTGGAGAGGTGACACCTGAGAAGAAACCAGCCCAAAGAGGGAAAAGGGAGGGTGGACATGAATCTCAGGGCAAAGACAGAGGCTGGCAGCACAGCAGGCAGGACAGTATTTCCCCAAGTGCTTCATGGGGTATATTCTATGAACCTCATATTTGGGAAACCATGGATCACACACAACTGCACAGGTGTCCCTACTGTGAGTCTTCTCAAAGATTTTAATGCAACTGGAGCAGAAGTGGCAAAAGATTCCATTTGCATATCAGAAAGGACTGGCTTTTAGGTGAAAAAAAAAAACAATCTAGTCACTTACTAGCTGTATTAACTTGAGCATAATATTCGACTTTGATGAACTCCAGTTTTCTATTCTCCAACATGGAAGAATTGGTGGTCCTAACATCATACAGTTGTTTTGAGTAAATACTATATAAAAAGTGATTAATTCAGTGCTGGCACTTAGTTAATGCCCAGTATTATTTCTACCGCTTCTACTTCTACTTTTGTTATTTCCATTATTTCTAAGATGGATGTGCATCATGAATGTAAAAATTAAGAATGTCATATACATTATTTCTTCAAAGAATTCGTCAGTTTTTCATCAGCTATTTTTTCAGAAATGCCAGGTCAGCATATAGTACCAGGCCTAGCACACAGTAGGTGCCTACTAGGTGTCTATGGAGAGAATGGGGCAAGAACTGACCCTAGCAAAGAGCAAATTGCAGGATAGCAAGGGAATGCTCTAAGCAAGTTGCTTCTCATTATTTCTTTGGGCAACAGGCCTCTTAGGTCCAAGAGTAATGACTTCATCCTTTGCTAGAAGAATGAGAGATTGAGAGTGCAGTACTGAACTCTGGGGAAACATCACAAAGAGTTTATTTTGGTGGAAATGTTTGAAGTGACTCTGTAACAATGAGCTCATGCCTGCTGCCAGGCCTCAGACATGAGCTGGAGCCTGCCTGCCAGGGAGATGCACACAGCCCATCACCAATTCCACTTCTGTGGTACATAAAAAGGGAGGATCCCAGAAGCCCTACTCCAAAAGCAGCTCCCTCCTCTCCAAGGAGGGATATTGAGGCACAAACAAGGAAGTAGCTGACCCAGGATCCAAAGCAAATCAGAGCCTGGAAGAGCCCAGAAAGGCCCGAGCCTTCTAGTTTTACTTGGTCAACTCTCTGGCAGGATTTTGAAGTGAATCCCAAAGGATACTTTTTATTTATTTATTTATTTATTTATTTATTTATTTATTTGGTCAGTTGCTGTATACATTTATCTAGATGACTTCATCTGCCATAAGTCACATGCTAATCTCACAAATACTTCTTAGAAATGAGCAAACTTCACATAAGCCCTCCCCTCAGAGTGCAATACAGGGATCCTATTATATCCCTACAGCTTCCCACTGGTTTTTGTGCAAAGAGATTCTTGACAGAAGTGGAGTTTTCTGGGGTGAGAACGTGAACAGGTCTGGAATATGACATTTCATTTTACCAAACCAGATCCTTATTATATGTCCACCTGATTTCAAGTACAGAGTCTATATAGAGTTTGTAAAGGAAATGAGGCCATTTAAAAAGGTAGCTGGAGGGGAAGATTTCCTATAGAGTCTAGCACAGAACAGAAGACCCAAGAGTTAGTCAAGTTTTCAAACTTCAGATTGGGAGGTAGGGAGGTGCAGGACAGACTACAAAATTCTATAGTAAGAAAGACCATACATTTTTTAAAAATATATATACGTGTTATGTGTATACACACATATATGTATATGCATACACACACAAATATATGTATCTCAACTGTGAGCCATATAAAGAAAGTGCATGGGCCAGAGATCCTGTGTTCAATTCAATTGTTACATTTGTTTTCCCTTAAATATTCTTTTCTTTTTCAAGTTTTTATTAAATTCCAGTTACTTAACATACAGTATATTAGTCTTAAGTGTAGAACTTAGTGACTGATTCATCACTTACATACAACATCCAGTATTCATCACAAGTGTCTTCCTTAATGCCCATCGCCTAGTTAGCCCATCCCCCCCATCCATCTCCTCTCCAGAATTGGTCCATTTCATTTTATTTTAACTGGTAAACTTGGAAGTGGTGGAAAAAATGCAGAGTTAACTCCGGAAACTTGTCGAAGCTCAAGAAAGCTTCCAAGACCTATAGACATTTTTGTTCCAGGAAAGTAGGGTTGCCCAATTAGTCTTACACTAAAAATATAACAAGAGGCTGTTGACAAGGATTGCACATTTTCTCCATTGTGTTCATTTGGGGCAAGAGGTTAAATGATATTGAAATGATCTGAATCTTAATTTGACCATATAGTTCACGCAACTAGACTTGGACTGAACATTTTACCAAACCTAATCGACATACCAAGCCCCTTGTAGAAAGACCCCTTGGTACCCACAACCTCTCCCAGCCCTAATACTGCATCCTGTCTTCTGAGAGTCACAGTTCATGTTCAATCGCCATGAAACTGAAAAAAGCTAAATACTACACAGTACAGGTTTCTGACACATAAGACACAGCAGAATGCCTGTAGAACAAATCTAAAGGTCCTGGCAGGGAGTTTTAGGTGTGGGAGCCAAAGTGGCCCCTGGTCTCAACGGCTTCAATATCAACAGGAGCAGCAGAGGGAAGGCAAAATGAGGAAGAAAACAAAAAATACAGGCAAGGAGAAAAGCTTAAAGCTTCATTAAAGGAGTGCATCCAAAGCTTGGAGGAAAGATTTGGATGTGATGTGGCCAACCTCCTCCTCTCCAACCTTCATTATGATGTCTGTATCTCCACACAGGGGCACCAGAAAGTGAATTAATAGTTATTAGATTTTGGGTGAGAACAGTTCTGTAGGACCATGATTTTGACCCCTGTTTAGATCACAGGAGAACTCTTGAGAATGGGCTTCCTTCAGTGAGATGAAGTTTGTGGGACACCCACTGTGGTATGTGGAAATAACAGAGATTTGGTTTCATTTTCAGGGACTATGAGCCACAGGGATTGGGAATAGGCAGTGGGACAAAACTGGTGTATGGACAGGAGGACTCACTTTGCAATTATCTGCTGCTGGCATAAATGAATTGGTCTGGTGGCTTAGGTGCTGAGCAGTGGATAGACACACAGGTATAGATACTGAATAAAGAGAAGAAAATAACATTGCTTGCCTCTCAAAGAGCAACTGCACTGGCTATCAGTTTGAGTCTTTTCTTTTCTTTTTTTTTTTCCCAAGACTTGGTAGCCCAAATCATACCATGAGCACTGTCTGGTAAATGCATTGATTAAATGAAGAAATCACTAGATAGTACTGCATATTATTATAAGGAGAAGGTTTGCTTGACTTAAAGGAGAACCAGTTACTGACTTGGACTCCTATCTAAGAGGAATCAAATCTGGGATGCATTTCTAAAACAAAATATTCATTTTGCTTCTTAATATCAGGATGCACATAGTCAATGCTGAATCTAGTTTTACATTTGGTCCCATATGCTATGCCCTAGGTAATTAAAGTACGTCTTACGGCTAATAAAAATGAAGTTAAAAAGTCAAAAACCAAAACAATGACAGGAAATAACATGTGTGTACAATATGTTACCAACACACTGATAATTTTCAAAAGTGACTTTAAAAAAGTATCATAAATCTTTCAAAACACAGTGATTTATTAACCAAAAAGTCTGAGTGGTTTGCACTATTAAATTTAGCTTTTGAGTTTCTGTGTCACAGGCAGATCTTTTGTTCTCCTAGGTTAAATTTAGCATCCTGGATTTTGTTTTTTCCACTGCAACATGTTTTATCATCACACAGTCAATTTTCTGAGCTGCTTGGGAGAAATGCTCTAGAATTTCACTCTGATTTCTCTTAGTCGTTGTATAATCTGGGAATCGAAGGTATCGAATAATCCAACGTGATTTACTTCCCATCTTCTTCTTGCCCTTTCCCACCTATATGGCTTTCTCATAAAACAAACCTTCCCTAGGCATGGGATGAAATGGAAAAAAAAAAAAAATGCGGTGGCCAGAGGAAAACCATTTCAGAAATGTGTTTGTTAAACAAGTGCAAGCAATAAATTGAGCTTAGGAGGGAAAGGCAGTTAGAAGAAAAACTGAAAGTACTGACCTGAGAGTCAAGCTGATTGGAGCAAGGGTGAAAGCAGCGATTTGGAGGATAAGCAGAAAAGAAAAGGGATAGCAAAAGAGAATAAAAGGAAGGAAATGCATTAGTCTTAAACATACAGCCAACAGATGTTATATTAGCAGGTTTTATAACCAAATGAAGGACAATAAAGCAACTTTTATCTGTTATAACCCCCAAAAGCCCTGGGCACACACTGTAAACTGTTCTATTAAATATTACACATAGGAAACCAATATCTGCTCTCACGCATTACCACTGTAAGCACTGGTGTGAACCAGAGGTGTGTTGTAGCAATGCAACAGCAGAATTTGCCCTCTTCTGGTGGAATATTCATAGGGACAGTTCCTATCTGTGTCCATACAAAATTCTATTATTTAATAAACTGAAATGAAAGTTACTAAGGCATTAGAGCTAGTGGTAAGCACTGATGTCGGAAAGATTTTATTTGAACCAGTAAGTTGGACGGTTACATCTTATGAGATGTTCTTCCTTCCTCCTTGAAAATCAAAAGGAGCTGAACAATTTGGCTTTCCATTCAAAGATTTACATTTTACATGCTCACAAAGCACTGCACCTAGCAATGATCAAAGACACTGTGAGCAGGGCTTTGGGTGAGGAGCTGCCTACCTATCAGTCTCCCAAGAGAGGACAGAGCAACTTCCAAAGTTGAGAGTAATTTTTTTTCAGTTGTAAAAATGAGGATCATACTTCCATCCCTGAAAATATCCAGATGCTTGATAACTTATCTGTGCAAAAATATTTAAGATGCCCTTCTTATTGGTCAAAATAATAAAGTCCCAAATCCAAGCAAAAATTAAAAGAAAAAAAAAGTGATGATCTTCAAGCTACCACAGGAGCATACAGTGAACATTTATTTTATGAATCTATTTAATGCTCTTTGTAAAACAACAAAGTAAATGAACAAATATGATACCAGTGATCTGCTCAAGGGGACCCCACCATTCCATACTATTAAAAAGTACTTTTAGGAGCACCTGGCTGGTTCAGTGAAAAGAGCATGTGATTCTTGATCTTGGGGTTGTAAGTTTGAGATCCATGTTGCATGCAGAGATTGCTTAAATAAATGAAACTTTAAAAAATTTAAAATAAATAAGTAGTTTTAAGCATTTCACAGAGGAAGGAAAAACAAAATAAATCCTCAGACGAAAGTTTAAACAAGAACATTTCAAATGAAAACAGTGTTGATCAAAATGATAAAAATCAAAGAGAAAATTCAGGATTAAACACACGGTGCAAGCATTGGTCAAATAATCCCTCATATCTGAAATCCCCCTGCACAGTATTTTGTGATCATGAACACACAACTGATTAAAAATAAGTTAGATCAAGCCATGATTATTGTGGGAACTTTGGCCCCAGCTGTTGCTTCAAATTCTTCTGGATCAGAGAGGTATATCAAACTGAGGTCTATGGCCAAGCTTTAGAGCATCCTAAATTGAAACAACAAATAAACATTTGAAATTAGTTGACTTTTCCAAGGATTCCTAGTTTTCATCAAATTCTCAAAGGCATCCATGACCTTCCCCAAAGGGTTGGTAGGGATGGTGCAAAACTGTCTGCCACTTGTTTCATTGAAATTTCTTCAAACACTTTATCAAATATAAATGGATATTTCTCAGCAAGAAGAGTTTATATCAAAACAGAACTGGTATCAGGTTTCTTCAATGTATCATGAGACTTCTAGAACACGGTATCCCATTTTTCTAAATAAAGCTTTAGTTTACATTTTGTTAAAAGTGTTCTGAAAGGCATCAAAGAAATTATGTCATCACATTATTGAAAAAATTCAGAAGGAAAAATAATAGTCTGCTTCTCAACCTTAGATAAGGTGCTTTTAGGCATCTAAGATGATTGCTCAAGTGTCCGAATGTCTGATGGCATTAGTCAGTGATCCAGATAATTAAGGGCTACCTGTTTTCTATTCTGACATTATGTCTTATGAGCAGAACCCCAAAGGACGCATGCTGTTCTCCACAGTGGGGAGGGATGTGATCAAGGGCTTGATTTGGACATTTCCTGTCCCCTAGACAAATACCAACAAACCCCCTACTATATTTAGGATAATTACATGAATGGTCACCTGACTGATACGTTTTGGTGGCTGAGATGCAGAAACCTAGTGGCAGCAGACCTTGTTGGACAAGAGATCTGTTAGCCTCTCTCTTTTTCCCTAAGGCAGAACTAATTCTGAAACTCTAAATAAAACTCAGAGCCATTGATGGGCACTGACATAGAAAGACCACATACGTCAGTCTCTTTAATGTTTGATTACCTACCCGATCATACAGCAGATGTGGTATCTAGCACCAGCGATCACATAAAGACTTCAGCTTGATTTGGACCAACACTTAGGGGGTATGCTCGAGGCCCTTCACCCACTTTGTGTCAACCTTCCCCAGAGTCCATTCACTCGCTGTCCAAGGCAGAAGCTCCCTGCTGAGCCATCAGCATCAAGTGCAAAAGTTTATAGGAAAAACTGCACATGGGGACCACACTGGAGCAATATGCATTTTGAAAAGCAAAATCGTTAATGGCTGATGTAAAACATCCTTCACGTGGAATTTAAGAGGTAAATGCATCCTTATAAGTGCCAGGCATATTTGATTTGGAATGTATACATTGTGAAAAAAAAAAAAATAGGAAGATTAGCAGCGTAGAAAGCAAACAAGAACTGCCCTCTGAGAGAGAAGTAGGCCAGCATCAGTGTCATTTGAGTTATGCTATTCCTAACCCTGAACCTTTTGTTGCACATGACTGAAGCTCTGGAATATTTTAGAACACTCATTGCTTTTAAAAAGAAGTCTTTTCACTCTGGTAGGTCACGTTACAGACCAGAGACCACAAATTTATTTCAAGTTCAATTTTTTGGTTTTCAAAATCACAAACTTAATTGCAAACACTCCTCTATGAGTCCAAAATGGAGATATATGTCACACTGCTAAGAAATCTTTAGTTCCCCACGTTACGAGGTAGGAATTTCATAGTTTAAACCAGAAAATGGAGATATTGCCCAATTTGAAAAGGGCTGCCTGACAAACAAGAAAGATGTTTTGGTCAGAATACACATGGAGCCCAGCAGATAATGATTCAGAAAGTCAGGCCGAGGCTGAGCTCTTCTTTTCCCAAGAAACTTCCCCTCTTACTTTCCACCCCTGCCCCCAACCTCCTTCAGGCCTGGACTGGGGCTGGATCTCAGACATTTCCCAGACTATGTTCTGCTGCTGGACCCAAGACACAGGCAGGCAGAGAACTGGGACAGACTCAAGTCTCACCACACGTTTTATGAATTACAGTGCCTGGGAGGCATCAGCTTTAAGGAAAGGCAAAGGCAGAGATAAAGAAAATGTGCAGAAAGTACATAAAGATAAATGCCTGTAAAATCACTGTTGTTTTAATACATTCCATATTGAGGATATAAAAATGTGAATATTCTTGATGATTTAATGGCACTAGTGTCCAGCTAAGACCTGTTTGTCTAACTAGATGACTACACTATTTTTATGCAAATATTTATAGTAGCTGATCCTGATTTTTCAGTCACAGTTCTGGGGAGCTTCAAAATGTGGGGCACATCACTTTCTCTCATGAAAGCTAATAAAGATGAGACAGATCTCCTGTGGCCCAGCAGCAATGCCTCTCTCTCTCTCTCTCTGCAGGCTATGTGGCTGTTCAGTGCTACTGGACTAACTTCTTCCTTCTGGCTCACTGTTGGACAGGATTGTTCTCAGTCACTAACCTGTTAGACCTGGATTCAAATTCTGACTTTGAATCTTATAAACTCTGAAAGCTTTAGGAAGTTACATATAGTTAATTAATCTGTGTGAGTCATTCATGTAATATAGTTTTCTCATCTATGCAATGAAGATAATGATACTTCCTGTGTTGTTGGTAAGATTAAATGGTATACAGTATTACAGGTCAACTGCTCAGCAGAGCAGTGAGCACAAAAAATACATTATTATTATCATAATTACTATTCTAATATTATCTAAGGCATAGACAATATTATACTCTTCAGAGGCTCATAGCTTCTCAGAACAATAGACTAGGAGTCAGGAAAAATACATTATAGTTTTGCCTATTTCTGACCACAGGACCAACCTCCAAGAGGTAATTCAACCTTTCAGGGTCTCAGTTTTCTCACCAATAAAAGAGATGTGATGGTAACGTCCCTGTGATTTAACATCAGCTTTTCAGGAAAAATTTTGGTCCTAATATACATTTCCAAAGTAGACATGTAGATATATCTAAAGTTAACTGTGTTTTTAAGAACCAATAAACTGGCAGAACATTCCACATTTTAAAATTAATATTAAGCCTTTAAGGATTTTAATTTGTACACTTATCTCGGGAAAAGAAATTTCTGACTTAATCACTAAAATTGGTCACAGTGTATAAAAATCCAGTTATCATCAAAGTAATACTAAGGTTTTTAAGTGAAATATTAATTGATTTAGAGTTTGAATATATTAAATACTATGCTTAAAAATGTTGAAAATTTGAGAATTGACCTATCCATTTAATACCTGGCCACTTAATACTGAGAATTTATTTGTTTTAGTATTCAATTATTCCTAATGATGTAACTATCCCACAAGGACTTGGCACCTGAAAAGTATAATACATTTTAAGGGCACATGGCTGGTACAAAGCAGAAGCAAAATTTGAACCCAGATCCTTCTGTCAGTAGAGCCTATGCTCTTTCCACAGGCCACAGGGAGCTATTCTGCATATGTCTTAAAGTCCTGTCAGGCCGCACAAGTGTCTTGATCAGAGCTAGCAAACATTCACTGATTTATTCAAAATTTGTTCATTTCTTCCATATGGACTGAATCTAGGAAAGACAAATTCTGCCTTATTGCTGAACCAATAAGAAATCCTCAGAGGTAATGGAGTTACGTAAGATTATTCAGAAATTCTTTCCTTATATGAAATATAGGAAAATGCATTGATAGAAAGCTTATTTTTAGAGTCTATCCTATATACAAATACAATATGGATATGATTTATCTGAAAATCTAAATACTCTGGAACCCTGATATAACCTTCTTTGTTTTTAGACAGAATTTGCTATCAGGTAGGCCTGCCTTAGACCCTATTCAAACATATTTATTTACAAATGTTGTAAGGTCCTCTTAAAAGATACATGCCAGATGAATTTGTTGTGGTGTGCCAAAAAACATCGAAAGGATATGAGCTCCTTTCCCTTTCTCCTATCTTGAATGAATTGCCAAATACATTTTTTGCTTGAAACAAACCTAAACCACAAATGCTTGTCTTTCATGGGTAAAAACAAAACAAAACAAAACTAAACTAAGCTTCCAAGTAGTCAGAGCCTCAGTTTCTCACACACTTTGTTGGCACACATGCTAGATGAGGGACATCACTCAAGAAACTTGGCCATTACTTTCTTAAACACTTAAGAAGTACACAAGCCCTCAAAAGATAAGCCAATTGCCTTCTTGAGTATCCCACAGAAACATAACGTCATCCCTAACAGGCCTGTTCCTCACACATCACTCGTTTCCAATTTGAAATATGAATATGCATTCCAAATCCACTACAACCTGTGATGGACAACTAAGCAAACCATGTTCACTCACTGCTGACAACTCACAACATGGCTGCAAAACTTACCTCTCAAGTTCTGCAATCTTCTTGTCCTTGTCATTCTTTTCATTCTCCACCTCCTTGAGGATCTCCAGCAACCGGTCAACTTCCGCTTGGGCCTTGCCGCACTCATCACGGTAGTAAGAGGCCTCTTTATCAAGTTGTTTTATTCGGTCTGCAAACTCTGGGTTCATCCTGGAGTCATCTTCAATATTATGAGCCTTCAACATTATATTTTTAAAGAATGTAGTTAAGACAACAATTTAGGACAATAGGTAGTGCAGTCACCAATGGTCCAGAAATTATCAATGGAGAAAAAATAATCATCATCAAGAATTATGGGTATACTGTCAGTTAAAAGGCAAAATGGAAAATCACATAATTCGGCTACTTCAGAAAAATACTGATTTTAAATTATATTACAGTTTCACAGGAGAGGGTTTTTTATTGTTAATATTTTGTTGCATTAATGTTATTACTTTTGGGGTTTTTTTTCCCCACCAAGAAATGGGGGATGAGTGTGGGGAGAGACTGACATCTTTATTCCTCATGCTTTGGCAAGCAGAACTAACACAATTCAACTCCTCACAGTTAAGGAGGTGATTCATACCAACAGCTTCCTTTTCCAGTAGAGAAACTGAGATAAAACAATATTTAATTATTTTTCCGAAAACTATCAAGGGTATATGTAAAGCCAGGTAACATGTAAGAGACTGGTTAACTGATGACTGAGTACTTCATCCCACTGAGAAATTTCAGCAGAAGATGTAGGTTGAAAGAAAGACTCACAAGTGAGGAAGGGCTTTCCAGCTAACAGTCATACCCATAAATTCTTGTTCTCTTAAGTAAATTTAACCTGAACCAGGAGGAGGATGAGCTAATTCATGAACAAGCACACAGACAAGAATCTGCAAACACATGCATGGGTGGGTGGCAGCTTCTCACACAAGAACATACACAGGCAACAACACAGCAACAACACTGCAGAATAATTTGCAGCCAAAGTATTTGTGGTTTTGTGTGTCTGAAAGTGTGTTATGGCTTTTTTTTTTTTTCCCAAAATAAACTTTTGGCTGAAATATTCTCAGACAGATGAAAATAACACTGCACTGCAATGTTTTGCCTACCCCTTGTTTCCCATTATTCCTAAATGACTTCTTCAAAGAGTAGGCAGGGAAAAAACAAGTAGTTTAACAACAGTGCACATTCAACAGAGAAAGTTCAGAGAAGTCATATATGTATGTATCTCCAAAATCCATGTGTGAAATCATACAATGTTAACAATTTATTAGGACTTAGGTTGTTCTGCTGTCTTGCTATATAGAACAGATGTTCATTGTGTTTTTATATCTTTTTGTTTAATTTCAGGGAAAAAACAGGCAAGCAAGCTACAGCTACTGTGGGGTTAAATGAATCATGCATGGTTAGAAAAATTAATACTAATAACTACTATTACAAGGTTGACAGTTTTTGCAATGAATTTAGTTGAAAAAATTAAACAATTAGTATAAAAATAAATTTATTTATGACAAAATAATCATTTTTAGAATAATATTCTTGCATGTAACATATTATTTAAGCATGAGGATAGGAGGAAAATAATTTGCTTTCATGTTCTTTAACCTAAGATTTCTTTATCCAAGAAATAAACTCAAGTATGCAAAAAGAACTTGGAGAAATTTATCAATTCAACATACTACTATCAGGTACTAGTTTATTCCCTTTTACCAATATTTCTCAGAAAGCATTTATTTTTATTTACTTAGTATGTACATTAGACTTCATTCTAATAGATTAGTGAGCTTTTTCAGTATAATTAAAATAATCTGAAAGAGAATCCTGAGCTAATATGCCTTTAGAAGTTTATTCATCTAACAATTTTTAAATTGAAGTAATGAAAATTTTAATTTGTTAATTGTCACTTTTAAAATATAGGGTCGATATTCTAATTTAAAAGAAAATACTTCTATACCTATTTATATTTGTGATAAGTATCAATTCATTACTCTTGTATCAGAAAAGCACTGAAAATATAGTTTTAAAATTCCTAAGAAAAAGAAAACAAAATATTGATGTTAATTCTTTTCCACTTTTATGCCATATTACCATTATTTTATGGCAGCTAAGGAGCATTTCATGACATTATCTCAAACAACCTGACCAACAATACTAAGATCTTTAAAAAATAATTCAGGAACTGAACTAGAAACACACAAAACAAATATAAATATGCTTCCATTGCATGCCTCTGATTTAAGATTCCTTTCTTGACTCTGACTTAAAGATTCACAAAATGGTAGCAGTTCAGTTAGCCACTGTGCTTTATTTTGGTCGTTTTTTTTTCTTATGATTATGATTATGACTATTAATAAATGGGTACATAATTACTATTCGTGAGACCTAGATTCTAAATTTAGCCCTGTGTCTTATGACTATTGTGGGCAAAGGAGTTGGCCTTGCCAAGGACAGATAAAGCTACCATACAACAAACATGGGGAAGGTATTATTCATTTGTATTCTTATTATGAGTATTATTTTATGATATGCACTCCGCTAGTGGGGCTTGTTATACAGCTAAGTTAACAGGTTTATTTAGTTTCTCATCAAGATACTACACATGTCTTAGAGAAGCCTCCCTGTAGGCTTACAGAAAAAGCAGTCTGCTGGTAAATGGGTATCTGAGCACATTCTTTATTTTAGCTCTATGAAGAGAAGATAACCCAAGGCCAGCTTTTGACACTGGGTGAAATTAGATGGGTTGGTAGTCTTTTCAATCAAACAAATGACTCATGGGATGTTTAGAAGTACAGAAAGCCTACAAAAAGACATGCCTGAATCTAGGCCACTGTTGGCCTCATGTGATATTAAAGTTAGATCATATTATTAAAAGAGATCATAGCCACCTTTACAGTTAGCCTGGTATCTTTTAGATAACACTTGTAGGTGCTAATGATTCTTCCTCTTAAAACAAGAATACCTTTGAGTTAAATAGATCTCTGTACCAATGATAAGTGCCAGAATTCCCTGAAGGGTTATTAAATAAACATGTAAATAGATACCATTTAAAAACTGTTAAGTCAATAGAAAGCTTTAAGTAAGAGTCATACAGAGGTGGATGAGTAACATCTACTTCTGGGTCATCACTAGTGTCCAAGCGAAGACTCAGGAGAGGAGTTTCTCATGACTGAACAGCTGGTGAATCCCTGATCCAACCTGAGTAGTGGGGGCAAAAGTCTCCACAGAATTTATAAATGATATTGCAAGTAACCACTTCTATTCAGCTTGAATCATTACTTTTCAGAGGATGGGCTGAAATTGTTAGGCAGTGTAGCATGAGTGTGATATACTATGATCTACAAACATGAGAGTTATACTATACTAAAGAAATACAGGAGGAAATTGAGCTTATAAAGCAACACTTCCTTCCAAGTTATAAGGTCAGAGCCTCCTCTAAAAATGAAGTGAAGGAAGCACTTTATTTGCAGTTAGCAATGCTCTTGGCTTTTCAAATTATAACAATGGGTTCTTTAACCTAGAATGGCAGCTCCTAATAGGGATTAAAAGTAGGTAACAGAATTGGACCTAATATACTTTAGACACTGCAGAAAAAATATAGATATATATTTGAATAATCATTATCTGAACAAATTCCTACCATGGCATTCTCACCCATTCAAGGTTTAAACTAAAAATACACAGCAATTATTTCTCCTTATGGATCTTGAATTAGCTCCCCCAAAAGGTGAGGAAGCGACTGCCCACTTCATTCTAAGGCACATCAGCTTTGTCCCCTCTCTTCATTAGTCAGGAATCTAACTCTTGAAAATGCAGATTGGTGTGGATTTAATGGTTTTAGAAGCTACTTATTATAAATATAAGGTAGAACATTGTCACTTTCAAAGACATCCACCAGTCATAAAACGAACAAAAAAAAAAAAGTCAATGAAAATCCTTTTCTTAATGTAGAGATTTAATTTTGTTGATTAAACCAGTCAGTTTAAAGGCAAATCCAGGTATCTGGTTCTGCCTCAACATTATTTCTGTTAACTTTTAGAGCAACTCTCAAGCATCTCACAGAAACACAGAAAGTTGGGAAAAAAATATTTCAGAAATGACTGTATTGCATATTAGATCAGTAAGTTCTGAGGATCCTCCAATTATGTTTTCCTACATTTATAAGGAAATTTCCCCCATAAATGGGAACAATCAAAACAAACTTTGGAGACTCACTGATGTGGGCAAGCCTTGGAATTTTACATGAACTGACTTTGAAAGCCTGAATCAAGCACAAAAGAGAAATTTGGCCATGACTTAGGACAAGTAGTACATAACAATACCTAGGGGCTATTTTAATTATAGAATTTAGAACTATTTCAGGAAACAAAGCAAAGTTTCAAGTTAATATTATATTTAAATTAAAGTTAAGAGCAAAAAGTGATTTAAGCCAAACCAGGGATTGATAGTATCAATATGAAAAATCACAAGCTTATTAATAATTTTCCTATAAATTTTGGGCATTGATTATTTTCAATAAAATTCTAATTCATCATTCCAAGTGCCTAGAAAGGAAAGCATTAACTTTGGCCCAGAAACCTACTGTGAAACTGGGCAGGGAATATCCAATTATAATATTGTATAGCATTCTTTCTTTGAAATGGGGCCTAACAATGTAAAAAATCATTTCTTTCAAAATAAACGAATGATTAGTCATGTTCATAAAGCACAAGCAGACACTAACTAATGAGTCTGATGGTTTTTCTTCCCTGTGCTTATGGGTTTTAGCAATAATTTGTTAAATTTATGCACAGTGAAAATATGATTCTTAATTGCAGCACTTTTGGGGGTTTAAACATTCCTTTCATATCTGAGCAGTGGAAGAGGGCATGTACACTACTTTAAACATTATATTTTATTTCAATCTTCTAAAAGAAGTTTCAACCTTCACATAATTCTGAGTTATGAACAAACCTTACTTTTTAAAAATAAAGGTTTGAAGGGTAATTATAGAACTGTAACATATTATAAAATTTACATTTTATTTTAAATCTAATTAATTAATACCAAATATAAAAGCTGAGCCTAAATGATACATTCAAAATCTAATAATGATAAAACTTTGAATCTTACCCTACTTAGTTCTAAAGGAAACTTCTTTTACAATTCTAGCTAAGTACATCCAGAATACTCACAATTTTCATATTACAACTATTCCAAAATGAAA